TGCAAATTCATATACCCCAAAAGGATAGAAAACTAGATTATTTCTGCTAGGTGTGAAAATATGTTTGATTAGTTCACTTAGGTGTGATGCACGCACACTGGGAATTCAACTCCAGTGACAAAGAACTGACACACGAAATAACCTGGCTTGCAACACCTGAGCCAACATTCTTTAGGGGGACAGCAGCCCCATGTGGTTGGTAATGTATTTTCCATGTGGGAATGGAGAGGTACTACAGCACAGATCTTGGGTTCATAAGGAAATACCTTTGGCTGTGTTTTAACACAGCAGTCCAGTTTATTTCCATTTGTAATCTGGATTCAGAAAGGCAAGCGAGAGTGTTTCAAATAAGAAATGCATCCATGCTCTTGGGTCAAAACACTGACAAGGGCCAGAGGGCCAGTGTAGCATGGAGATCAGTGTGAGACTCGGAGTGGGAAGACCCGTCTCCACTCCGCCACGAAGCTTGCTGGGTGATCTGACACCAGTCAATTGCTCCTCAACCTGACCTACCGCACAGAAGTGCTGCAGGTATAAAATGAAGCAGAGTAGAAAGCTTTGGAGGAAGGGGAGGATATAAATATCACAGAAAATCTATGTTCTATTCCACATGATTTCTGTACAAAGCAAGATTTCATCCCTTTGTCACAAACAACAAAGTTTATAGACAAACTATATCGATAGTTTTGGGTTTTTTTTTAACAAAATAAGCTGTCCAGTTGTAACCTCCCTTTCCACTAGCGCTAGTATTTACACTCAACAGAAGAGGGCTTTTTCTTTTCTTTTTTTGCCAATTCTTCCCTCTCACTGGAGCCCTCCCCCTTATGACCCCCATAGTGTTCCTGGGGGTTCACTAACACACAGTGCACAATTCTGAGAATTGTGGCAGGAGAGGGAAGGGGAAAAAGTCACTGTTTACACTACTCCGCTCTGCACATGTTGCATAGGACTTGAGCTGCAAACTCTGGAGGCACCCGAGCACACATTGTCAAGATGCAGCCCACAGAACAAATCTCACTGAGCCTAAATGCTTCCCCCCCCACACACACACACTGTTTCCTTGTTTGCAGTCTGTGAAGTTGGGGGGGGGCAGTTGCAAGGAGCAATTGGAGGGGCATGAACAGTCGGAAGTTGTTTGCCCAATTAACAGCCACAGCAGTCACGCTCCCCACTGCTGCTGGGCGCTACCTTTCACTCCTAGGGCAACATCAGTTTCTGCTCCGCTTCTGCTGTGGCTTCCTGATGAAAACAACAACATTCTGACTACATCATTGTATTTGAAATCCAGTTACTGCGAGGTAGTGTAGAGTATCGATGTTTCCTGATCTTGCTGCAGCATCTGGGGTTAGAAATAAAAAAGTGGCACATCTGTATGGAGCATGCTGTCAAGAGCACTCTGTGAACAGCTGGGGGGCAGCAGAAAAGATGACTGAGAAGGATGTGGTTTTGTGAAATTGTCGTGCTTCCGATGGTGGTGGAAAGTGCCAAGAAATCGCAGCTGACTTACGGCGACCCCCCCTGTAGGGTTTGCATTTCCTTGGTGGTCTCCTGTCCAAGTACCAACCAGGACCCACCCTGCTTAACTTCTGAGATCTGATGAGACGGGCCTAGCCTGGACCGCCCAGGTCAGGGCACACTCCCTATACACTCACTTTTACACAAATCCCTTCTTGTCAGTAAGTGGTAACAGGAGTCCACCAGATACCAACCAGAAATCTACCACTGGAACACAGACAACGTCCTGCCCACCTCTAGCCATATTCCCAAAATCACGATGGCAGCAGAATTAAAGTTTGGATCCTGCCAGGTGATAGAAGAGAAGTTCTTACATAATGTCCTTCCATTTGCACCACATGCTGCACGACAGCTAGCGAGAACAAGTCTTGCTTTTACCTTTCAGATCAGCATACAAAAATTCAGGAGGCGGCCAGTCAATCCAGTCCAGCTGAGACCAATGTTCCCTCTAAGCCATGAAGTCTTGTGAGCAAAGATTCTACTTTGTGAGCTACCGGCATTAAAGTTGTGAGCGACTGATTGAGCTACTACGTCAATTAGTCTGCTCTGGAGCCCTCCTTCCTGAGCTAACACAAAAATGTGTACTCCGGAGGCTAAAAAATTGTGAGCTGACTCACACTAACAGCTTAGAGAGAACACTGGCTGAGACGTGTGGTATGATCTGACTGAAGGAGGTCATTATCGGAGGAGGGGGTGCTGAAATATACCTTGCACTGTTGTCGTGTTAAGTGCAAGGGCTATTGGTGGTGTTTCCACTCATGCAAGAGCTCTTGCGCACATGAAATGTTTGGTCAGGCCCAACCAGAATGGTACAGGGAGGAAACACGTGCCGTTCTCCCATCCCGGCTACCATTTAAACAGGATCCCTCAAATGACATCTTCCCACTTTGCTAAGGAATATGCTTTCTCCCGCCAACCGAGCAGTTCGAAAGCAAGAAATTGCAAGTAGATAAATAGGTACCACTTCAGTGGGAAGGTAACAGCGTTCCGTGCGCCTTGGTGTTTAGTCATGCCGGCCATATGACCACGGAAACGTCTTCGGACAGCGCTGGCTCTTCGGCTTCGAAACGGAGATGAGCACCGCAACCCTAGAGTCGGACTTGACTGGCTTTCGAGCAAGGGAACCTTTACCTTTTCAACACACCTTTACTGTGAACGATCTATATGGGTCTGAACTCTGCCTTTTCAACAGGAATGTAAACCAGTTAATCCAACCTGGAAAGGGGAACTTTTATTATTATTTTGTTAACACATTTGTTTGTTACACGTGAATTCCTACTGACGGAAAACAATGGGACTTTTATGTATTAGAAAACATGGAAACTGATCACAACATCTTCACTTGTCACTGGAACTTTTCCCCAGGTCCAGCTGTACATCTCAAAATGAGGACCCCCACAGAAAGGGCATCTTTCCAATTTAAGTGCTGAGGGATGAGGAGTGTTTTTTGGGGGGGTTACGTATTAAGATTATTGCCTCCACGAAAAGAGAGTGCCCACCCTCCCAAAGCTTGCAGTTCACACAGATCATCAAGAGTGCAAAAGAAGTATGGAAACACTTCTCAGAAGCTGTGTACAGAGTCTGCATAAGGCACTTCTGCTTCTTAAGAAGTCGTTTACCACAGAAAAATAAGGTGGACGTCAGATTGACTAGCACTTGGGACCAGAAACGGCATATGAAGAAGAAATTGGGGGGGGGGGAGGGGACAGTTGCCTGTAGGACAGCCCTGAATAGTGCTAATCACTCATGGATGACTTGTAGGGAAGCAAGTGCTTAAACAGGTTGGGGCAATGGGAAGGAAATCCCTCCCACTTGTCCCGTCTTGGGGAATGCATATAGTAGTAGGGGGAGCATGGGACAGACTGGCAGGAAGCAGGTCTAGTAACAGCCCAGAGATCATCCAGCCTAGTTGGATCTTCTACAGCCTGTGGTGTGTCTCCTCACAAAGGAGGCTTCGCACGCGTAGGAGGACTTGGACTTAAAATCATCTCACATGCATTGTGAACTGGTACACACTGCCCTCGGAGAACGGTGCCATATCCACAGATGCATGATTGGCTCCAAAATGACCAGGAAGTCGATATAGATACTGGGTGAGATTAATGTAACAAATGAGCAGTGATGGCCCCCCACCTGCTTCCCTGATAACACCGACCTTTTGTTGACAGGTGGTGATCAACTGTTTTGTCTTATTCTTAAAAGCAAAACAAGACACTATTGCCTCAGTGAAGGGAAACCAACTCTTGAACACGTTTATACGAATAACCTATTTGGAAGTGTTTATAAAGAAACACTTCTGGTATGTCCAGCCAGCCACCAAGCTCGTTCCCTATAAAATGCATCACTTAGAACTCAGAGAGATGACCAAATGCCTTCTGTGCATCTATACTGCTGGAATGTAGCATTTCAGATTGCAGGCAAGGGACTAACTGTTTTTATGCTCTCCACACATCCCCTACAACCACCCTTAAAAAAACAGCATGTCCAGAAAAAGGCTAATTTTGAATCCACCTTTTGTATTTTATATGTGGGCTCATCCCGCATTCTTATTTTACCCACTGGTGCCTGTTTCTTCAGAGGAGGGTAGGGGCGGTTCTGTTCCGCATGTGTTTTGCTACCTCTAGTTTAAATCTGCAGGGAGATACACTGGACATAAACCACTGTAATACTGAATCGACCGCTAGACGGAGCCAAACGCATGCGGAACAGAATCCCCCCCCCCCAACAGGAACAGGCACTTAACAGTGAGTAGAATGAGAATGCGGAAAAGCCCTATGGCAGGGAAAATACAAACAGGAATCCCCCTTACATCCAAAGCAATCTGAAAGAGTGCAATACAGCAGTAGGTATGTCACAGGAGGTTACTGCTTTTGTTTTGGCTCTCAGTCTGGGCTGAAGAGATCCCCTCCAAACATACATTTCAAGGTGAGAGAGAGAATGGAGCAATTCACCAACCCTTAATGGAACAGAAGACGACGGCACCTCTTTAAGAATCCACAATCAGGCTGCGATCGCGCATAATAAATAATCCACTTTCAATTCACTTTCAAACTGGATTTTGCCACTTCACACAGTAAAGTGCACTGAAAGTGGCTTATTTAGTGTGTGTGATCGCAGCCTCACGCATTTAAACCCGTTGTTGGACCGGAAAAGACAGAAAGTGTTCACCGGCAGTACAACAGGGTGTGCTAGGATTTCAAGTCAAGTCAAGCGTTAAAATGAGCAATTGTGACTTTCTAGAGAGGCGTCTTGCTGTTGGCAATGTCCCGAGATGACCGGCATCACTGTGCCATCTATTCCCTTGTGCTTGCATGCGAGCAAAACAGGCCGGCCGCTTGCTTGGCTTCTCGGGCCGGCAGGCAACTCAGGCTCCGCCCCCCCCACTCCCAGAAAGCTCCGCAGCATCAGAGAAGTTTGGGATTGCCATTCATCCTGAGGCTAGAAAACAACCCCACGTGCCGGAACAGATTGGGCTCCACCACAAATGCCCGTTCGCCCTTCGTGCGCAGGAGCGAGTAAATGGCGGTATCTTTGGCAAAGCCTGGGCGGCAGTGCAGTTCTTTCAAGTAACCCAAGGCACGGTGGGCAGAAGAGGCAGAGAACAGCATAGCAGGTGTGCAGCATTCTGTCGCGGGCACTATGCTGTAGAGCGGAGGGGCCAGGCGGCGGAGTTCCAAAAAGTAGTGCCGTCCCACCAGTTCTACCAGCAGCATACTGTACAGGGCAAAGAAAAGCACAACAGGCCAACTGGGGCTGGAGCGGCTGGAGACCCAGGCGTAGAGGAAGCCCAACAGGGACCCCAGAAACATACCTACTCCGAGCCACTCGAGGATCCTCATGGGCTCTGGGTTGATATAACGCTGTAGTCTCTCTGGATGGTAGAGCTTCACGTAAAGGGCGTCTTGCAGGTGTGCCTTTGAGAACCGCACCTGCAACAGGTGATGCAACACGGGAAAGATCTCCTCCTCGGGAACAGCGTCATCTTCCACCAGCAGCACATACTCCGGGTCGTAGGCCTGCAGCGACTTCTCAAGACAATAGGCGTAGTCCTGCTTTTCCTTCTCAAACTGGTTCGGCGAGAGCTCTGCCTTCTCACGGCCTCCGTAGTGGTTCGCCATAGACATAAAGCTGGACAGCAGCTTGGCATCCCAATGGCTGCCGGGATCCGTTTCCACATTGCAGAGCAAGATCTGGTGGCGACGGCAGGGAGGGCCACACTCCCGGAGGAGGCGGTGGAAACGGGAGGCCACCTGAAGGACATAGTGGAATTCGGGATGCCTCTGGACCGTGATGATGGTAATCAGCAGCCACGGATGGAAGGCATCGTTGCCCAACCTTTCGGATGTATTTGGGGTCCGCAGTCTCTCAAAGTAGCGGAGGGCCCTCAGACCGTCCTCTTGGTTCTGCTTCAGGAACTCTTGGCTCATCGGGCGCAGATACCAGCGGCGCACATAGAAATAGGAGTAGAGGAACTGCTGGCAAGTCAGCGGTGCGAGCACACCAAAGGTCACAACCGTCAAAGCGAGGAACTGCACAAATGGGTTTGACCAACGGCACAGCCTCCCCCATGGCTGCGGAAGTCCTCGCGGGAGCATGGCTGCCGTGTGCAAGGGCTGGCGGTTGTGGGCTCATGCCTCAGGTCATTCACTTAGCCCATTGCTTCTACCGGGAAATGGGGGGGGGGGTTATGAACAGTCTTGTATTTATCTGAGCCAACCACAAGATCCAAACCTGCAAAGAAAGGAAGACAAACTATTATGCATACCGATGAGACAGCCGTATACCATAACTAGTAAGTAGCCACTTTGACAAGCTTTTACGGTAGAAAAGCAGCATATAAATCAACACATGAGCACCCGCCTTATACCAAGGGCCAACCTTGACGTGATGGGTGGCTGTGGGGTGACCTTGTTCAGACTGATGCAGTTTTAGAGAACTTAGCCATTTGAAATTTGCTGCAAGGCCCTGATCCTGAAAGGGCCCACCGCATGGTAGCAACAGGCAATCTCTCCCCACTCTGTGCCTTTTAAAGTGCTGAAACAAGCCCTTTTTCTTTGCCAGAGCTTTCTTTTTTTTAACTGCCCCAAGGGGGAGAATTTTATTTGTTTTTGAAACTATACACACATATAAACATACAAAGAACAAAACAATGCAACACAAAACATAGATGGGGGTAAATCATGCTTGTCCTTAGAACAGTTTGCCTCGTAAGTTTACAATAATAAAATCTTATTTCATTAGCACAAATAATTCTTTCTCCGGTGGCTCTATTTCTGTACAATAAAACCTATATCTGTGTCTGCATATTTCAATATTCAAGCCTTTAATTAGCAGAGTTAAACCTTTATACTTCAATCTGTTATGCTGCTATTATACCAGTCATAAAAATGCTTCCATGTATTTTCAAATGTATAGTTTATAGACCCTTTCATCAATAAAGTTAATTTATCACATTCTGCTGCTTCCATCAGTTTGGTTATATATTCATGTTTCTTTGGTGTTTCAGATGACTTCCAGTACTTAGCATATAAAATTCTCGCTGCTGTTGTAATATCTATCATTTTTGTCAAAGTCCTTTGATAATATATTCAAAAGGATTACTTCCGGTGTAAATGGTATAACAATACCTAATATCTTTTGCATTATTTCATGAGTCCACCTCCAATATCTTTTAGTTATTCCACAATGCCACTACATATGATAAAAAGATCCTGTTGTCCATTGACATGTCCAGCATACATTAGAATATTTATTCTTAGATTTCGCTATTCTATCTGGTGTTATATAGCACCTGTAAAACATTTTGTATATATTTTCTTTATATGCAAGAGCTTTTGTAATTTTGATTTTTTTTTCCATATCTGATCCCATCGGTCTAAATATTATGACTTATATTTTGTGCCCATAATATCATATTAGATTCAACTGTCTCCTCATACATCGTATCGTTGAGCATGAAGGTATATATTCTTTTTATAAATTTTGAGTCTGGGGATGTCAACATTTTTTCACGCTCCGTTAAGTTTTTGTAGAAACCCAATCTTTTATCTTTATAAAATCTGGATTCTATTTGGGGTTCTATTTGGCAAATCTTCTGGTATTCTCAGATTATTCTTGTTATCCAAAATATCCTGATATCTTATTAGTTCTTTCCTGGCCTAGATATTCGGCCGTGTAAATGCCTCCAGAGGTGCAATAAGTCTGAAGTTTTTTATGTAGTGTCTTTTTAAATGGAGTATAGACTGATAGCATCTTGGGGGGGGTATTATTTGATGTTTTAATTTATTACAGATGAGTTAAATTGCAATTTGCAAGCTGCCTCAAGCCAAGAGGAAAGTTGGCATATAAATATCTTAATACATACATAATGTAACGTACAATGCATGGAAAAGGTTGATCCAGTTGCTTTGAGTCATGGGTGCAAAAACGTCTACATATGGTTAACTCAAGATATGGTAAAACAGACTGAAGTCAGAGTCTGGTTTTGGGCTTCAAAACCCAGTCGAGTGTATTACATTCTTCCATTGTCTAGGTGTGTTAAGAGCCAACAGCGAATGCCTCAAGAAGGCTACACTTCGGTTTGGATTCTATACATTCCTCAGAGTTGTGTAAACCCACTACAGTTCAAGTTCTTTGGCTGCCAGATCCAGGTTGGGAAATGACTGGAGATTTTGGGGGTGGAGACTGAGGAGGGCAGAGTCTGTGGCATCATGCCACAGAGTCCACCTTCCAAAGAGGCCATTTTCTGCAGGTGAGCTGACCTCTGTCAGCCTGGAGATCAGTTGTAAGAGCAGGAGATCTCCAGCCACGACCTGGAGCTTGGCAACCCTAAGTGGAACAGCCATGATTCTTCTGATTTCCCAGGAGGAACTTTGTGTCCTCTATTATTGAACTGAGAAGCAAAAATGGCCCTAGTAAGAGGCCCTGCCCTCTGGCTCACCCCCACTAGAGGGCAAAAGGGGCACTGTCTCAGGGCAGTGACGGCTCACCTACTGCACATGGGGCCTGTGCAGCCAGCTCATTCATGGGGGCAGCTGCTAGCCCGCCTCGCATGGGGCTCGTGAAACCAGCTTCCAAGCAGCCCCACATAGGGTGACGGCTGTCAGCTCACAGCAGTGGCAGCCATGAACACCACCGAAACAGGACAAGGGCCGTGCCTCGCTTGGGGCCGGTGTGGCCCCTGCAGGGGGAAGCGGCTTCATAGGCCAGAAGCCCAGTGGCTTTAAAGGCCACTCTGCCCAGCCCCCCGTCTCCATTTTATCTTCAGAACTACCCTGTGAGTTAGGTGAGGCTGAGAGTGTGTGACTGGCCCAAGGTCACCCAGCAAGCTTCTACAGTGGAGTGGCGATTCAAACTGGGGTCTCCAAGATCCTATTCCAACACTCTATCCACTACACCGTGCCCTGACCTGGATAGCTCAAGCTAGCCCGATCTCGTCAGATCTCGGAAACTAAGCAGGGTCGGCCCTGGCTAGTGACGGGCAAGTTCCCTCTAAGCTGTAGAGTCTTTGTGAGCAAAAATTCGACTTTGTGAGCTACTAGCATTAAAGTTGTGAGCAAGCGATTTGGCTACCTGCATAAATTAGTCTGCTCTGGAGCCATCCTTCCTGAGCTGAGACAAAAATGTGTGAGCTGGAGGGTAAAGAACTGTGAGCTAGCTCGCACTAACTCATCTTAGAGGGAACACTGGCGACCTCCAAGGAATATCAGGGGTGTGACGCAGAGGCAGGGAATGACAAACCACCTTTGAAACATCTCTTGCCTTAAAAACAAGACTAGCTCACCACCTAGTGGTGCAGAACACTAGAAGAACTAGAACTTCTGGCTGCCAGACAATCTTAGGATCTCCTGGCTATATGACACACAATGCCATATGATAATTATTACTATTACCATGGAAATGGGCAGCTGAAGCTTTTCATGGCATGGAGCTAAATCACATCACCTGAGAACTGCTGCAGCTCAAACTGGTATTAAAGGGACTCAAAGAGGGACCCGTTTAAACATTAGCTCTTCTGTTTGCAAGGGTGATGCCTGCTTATTCTTCAGGAAAGTGATAGAGAAGATACATATCTGTGCAGAGTCTGTATTTTTTGATTTGGGATTTTGCTCTGGTTCAATGTGGCCACCTGCAGCCTCTATTGGGGAAACAGCAGATAAAAAGAGCGGCTATTCAACGGGAGGAAACTGCCTTGGCTATGTTCACTAGGTAATGGTAGGTGCATCATCTGAACTTAATTTCCCACAAGACTCCTATGACAGTTGCCAAGTTTTCCCCCCTTGGCATCCTCCCTTTTAATAAACTGTTTGGCGTTACAAGATGTTTGATTATCCACTGGCTTTTGTATTGGCAATTTTGTAAACGTCTAGCCTGATCAAGGACTGTGGAGAGCCTGACCTCTCACACCCTTTTTTTTCCTGCTCTGTTGACTTTGCTTTGACGGAAGTACTTTTTACACACTTCACAGTGAAATTGTGGAACCTGCTGCCACAGGATGTGGTGACAGCCACCACGTTGTAAGGTTTTAAAAGGAGAGTGGACAACTTCATGGAGGATGGGGCCATCAATCAAGAAGAGGTCTGGATTTTGCTCTGGACCAGCCATTGTAGGCAATGCCTTCCTGGGGGAGGCCTAACAGTTAGGACTAACGAAACCTTGGTAAAACCTATGCCCTCGGTAGAACCTGTATCTGCAGAAAGCCTTTTACCCACCCAAAGGAAAAATGCTCATTATGAACACACTCTCTGAAATAAGGAAGTCCAAGTTCTCTTAACATCAGCCTGTGTTTCTCTTTTTTGGAGAACAGGGAAAGAACTTTCAATAACATGGCAACCTGGCTTCAACTCTTAATTTGTTCCTCTGAGGAAAGTACTCTCGTTCAGTAGATCCTGAGTCTTGGGCAGACATCCAGGCCTTGATTCACACATGGATATTCTGGTCTCTGCCACAAAGATTGTGCTTTGCCCTGGAAGAGGTCACAGTCCAGAGAAAATCTATCAGAGCTCACAAGGCGATATTCCGGTCGAAGCCTATCCGTCACACCATACAACCTACATCTTTTAAAAGCAGCCTGTGAGGCAGGCTTTCCAACAGCCGTGGCCCAGTTTTAAAAGACAGGACAATACTGGATGAGAATCATTCGATGGACTGAGACAACAGAGATTCACAGCAGCAGCTACCAGGAAGCATCTGCGCTTGGAGAATGCATGCCGCATCTACCAGGGATTAACACAGCTCGTTGAATCCTAAATATTGACATTCTGCAGCATACGTACAGGAGCGACAGGCTAGTGAACAGTGTTCCCTCTAAGCTGAGTTAGTGTGAGCTAGCTCACAGTTGTTTAGCCTCCGACTCACATTTTTGTCTTCGCTCAGGAAAGGATGGCTCCAGAACAAACTAATGTATGCAGTAGCCAAATCGCTCGCTCACAGCTTTAGTGCCAGTAACTCATGAAGTAGAATTTCTTAGCGGGAACATTGCTAGTGACCCTAATCGCCAGAATCCATCTCTTTTAAAAAATCTTAAATTGAGCCTATGGTAAGGCAGGGCTTGTGGTATTTTTCTGAAGGCTCTCCTCGTGCAGATGAACACTACCTTCTCTGAATCCTGTGTGGAACACATGGCAGATCTGGGAAGAGACTATCAACAGTCAGAAGTCCAACCTCCGAGGCAAAGCTGCCAAAAGATCCTGGTATGCCCCCTATAAACAGGGCGCTGACTCCGTGCACTCCTCCCACGCCACGCCTTCTTATTTCCACCACTTCAGACACCTTCAAAGTCCTTGTGCATGACGGCATACAATAAGGTATGACAGGCAAGATGACAGCCAAGTCAAGAGGTAGTCTATTAGATCATCTTGATCTGAGGTGACAGTTAGTGTGTCATGTGACATGTCACCAGGTCCTAAGATTGCATCATCCTGACTGCTGTCACCATGAGTCAGCACTTCGTTCTGATTGGTGCTCAGATGTATATATTGAGTACAGTCTGCATGCTATTGTTCACTCTTGTGGATTGAATGCTATGCGCAGCACTTGGTCAGTCAGCCTGGTGAACTGGATGCTACCAGTGCTAAAGGACTGTATGTATATAGTTGCTGTAAATAAACCACTGTAAATAGTTCAGCACTAGCCAACTCTGGATTGTGTTATTATTGGTGCTTCCAATACGCTGACAGTGTACTATGCCTACCTTTCTCCATGGCCTAACAGTGAAATAGAACACAAGCCATAGAAAAACACCCACATCATTTAAAAATTATAACAATAAACAAAAATACATGAACATTACATTAACCCCCCCCCCACACACACAAACTCCAAATGCTCTGCTCAACAGGTCTGTTTTGCAGCTTCAATGGAAATCCAGGACCTCTCCCGGGAAGCTGTTGCACAGGCAAGTGGCAGCCACTGAAAAAGCCAGAGCCCTGTCTGTCACAGAGTGCTCCCCAGCAGGGAGAAGCAGTTGTACAGAGTAGGTTCCTTGTGTTGCTGGGCGGCACCAATGCACGGCCTTCTTTTTGCCCACAGGTTACAGCTGACTTGTGGCACCCAGGGCTCCCTCTAAGCTGTGGAGTCTTGTGCGCAAAAATTCTACTTGGTGAGCTCCTGGCATTAAAGTTGGGAGCGAGCAATTCGGCTGCTGCGTAAATTAGTTTGCTCTGGAGCCCCTCCTTCCTGAGCGAAGAGAAAAATCTGTGAGCCGGAGGCTAAAAAACTGTGAGCTAGCTCACACTAACTCAGCTTAGAGGGAACACTGGTGGCACCCCCCCCCCCTTTCTTTTTAAAAACGCTAATTTGCTTTCCCTCCTCCTCCGGTGACCAATAGCAGGTAAGGATTAGGTAACCTCGCCAAGCAGAGATCTATAGAAATAGAGGCGCTTTCCTAGGTGAAGTGTGTGTGTAGTAATGGGGGGGGGGAAGAGGCAAATACCAGGAAAATACTTTTCTACCCTCTGCAAGATTGCTATTTGAGGAACACCACAAACATTCCCTAGACAGACGTCATGATGGTCAAAGGTATCCTGACTAGGAAAAAACCTCCCCGATTTCATAAAGGCATCTAGTAAAAGGAGGGGACTTTCATCCAGTAAAAGGAGGGGAGACTTTCTTCAGGGCAGGAGCGACACAAAGCGGCCTCGCCACCAATGTTCCCTCTAAGCTGTGGAGTCTTGTGAGCAAAAATTCTACTTTGTGAGTTACTGGCATTAAAGTTGTGAGTCCGCAATTTGGCTACTGCAGCAATTAGTTTGCTCTGGAGCCGTCCTTCCTGAGCTAAGACAAAAATGTGTGAGCTGCAGGCTAAAAAACTGTGAGCTAGCTCACA